ATAATAATGATAATAATAATAAATTCGATTTCTAAAGCACCTTTCATTGCCCACAGCAATCCCAAGGTGCTATTCTGATTACCATTTTTTCATTGAGATTTGTACTTATAGTACCTCACATAAACGTACGTTACATTGCCAGAGAAACAGTGCCCTGTGGTCAGGACGCATGTGTGTGCCTCAATCTGCAGAGCCGCTCTGCTTTCACCATTGTTTACGATGATAAACTGACAACAAATATGCAAATGTATTACTCAGTGACAGCCGCGTGGTGGCTGTCACATATACCGGTTGTTAATCAGATTTCTGCATGGAGGCTCTGTCAGCAGACTCTCTGCTCGGTAATCTCTCTGTTCACATGCCGCTGTCTGCTGCCACACTCAGTCTGTGTTGTGTAGTCGATGGTGGTGAGCACACTGTTTTCAGAAATGATGAACTTGATCTTTCCATGTCGCAACACCTACTGGACACCCAGGAGGGGGGGCTCCCGAGACATCTGTAAAGACAAACAATGCACACAAATAAAGCAACGTGGGCCACTCTAGATTTATGCCAGTGCGATAAGAAGAAGATTAGGAAGAGGGCAAAGTTGTTCCTAACCCAGGGTAGGAGGCAGAGCAAGTCCACTGCCCCTCCTGTCCACATGTGGGTGGGCCAAACACAAACAAAGAGGCTGTCGATGGGCAGGCCCCCACCCAGACAACAGATTCATCTTTTTTGATAAAGCCAAAAATATTGATAAGTAATTTTATTGAATTAAGATTTCTTATGCAGATACCAGATTAGGATTAGATAAAAATGCTAAACTATATATTCTATGTCCGATTTAGAGAAATCTGTTTCTTTGAAAGTGAGATAATGTTAATATTTGTCATTAGGTGTAAGTGTAGGCAAATATGTTGTACCATGAAATAAAATTGGAGAGGTCCGCTTACTTGCAAAATGATCTAAATTGTTTACTAAATCCTACGTCATTTCCATAAAATCAACAACCTAGATCTCCCTATCATTGCTACAAAATGTAGTTCTTCACACATATTCACAAATGCAACTTGTGGCACCTGTACGGAAAGTAATAGTTTTGCCATGAAGATTCCTACTGCATTGAACGTAATGCCTACACTTCAAATAAAAGTCTCTTCTGAATAAAATACGGTCTCCCCTATTATAATTTATTGTTATGTTTCATTACAGAAATAAATGGGCTTGTGGCTGCAGTTTGAATGCTGTTAATATGTTCTGATGCACATGTGTAGGGGCTCAGTGGTGAGTCTGAACTGAAACCTGGTATTAATGTGATCCCAGTGGAGGAAGGTGACTCAGCTATAAGTGGATCGAAACATGATGAAAGGGTCTAGTGTACTTAGACAGAAGAACCGTGTGTGTGTCTGCAGAGAGCGGCGGGTTCAGCTGCTTCATGCTCTCTCCCTCACATCACTCTCTCACAAACTTACAATCCATTTGATTGGCTCAATTGAGTGAAGCTACTGATGTATAACATGGGTTAGCTGGAGCGACCACCCCTGCGGAAGAAAAACCCTCAGTGATGATGTTCATATATTCTCAATAGTTTCTCCAGGTATAACGTCTATCCTGGTCCGGGTCACTGTTGTGATGACTCAGAGGGACTTCTTAGCTTAATTGTTGAGGTTAACAGCTCTTTGCTGCTTCAACATCAGGACACAGTGATCCTGCCTCTGTGAGCGTAATGACCAGCCCATCCACAGAAGCAGCAGCAGCAGCAGCTGACCTGCAGCCTTCACACACTCCAACCAGACTACAGGCCATCAGCACCAACACAATGTGCCGCTCTGTAAAGCTGCCAGCAGGAGAAGAACGGAGTGCAGTGGTGAGACAGCTAGTGTGTTTCAGGTGGAGTTGTGAGACAGCTGTTGTGTACAGACTGTGCCCAAAGAAGATCTACATACTGGGCGCAGCTTGCACTGTCCTTTGATTAGAACAGCGAAGAAGCCTCCTAAAACAAGAGCTTCTCCTTCAAAGTGAAGGAGCTACTCAATTGGAGCACAAGAGGCTCCTCGACAGAGAGAAGCTGATTGAATCATGTGAGGCACACACCTGTTGGATTGTTGGACACTTCCTGGGTTTTCACGATGCTCCTTTGCACCTGTGTTTCAACATCTCGCTGTGTTCAAATCACGTCTTATTCATCCATGATTCAGATCGAGGCGACAGGTGCTGAGGCATTCTCTGTGGATCGGCTGTCTCCTCCTGTATGAAGAGATATGCAAATACAAGGACCGGGCCTGCAGAGGCAACTTGGTTCAATACAATTATGGAACTGCCTGCCAGAAGCAAGGTGATCATTCTCCTTTTTCAATGGGGATGCTGAATCAAGGGCTAACCATGTAACCCATCAAAAATTACCTGCACTGAATAATAATAATATTTGCACTGAATGCACATATGACTTTCCCCCTCACTAGTACCTGCACAATGTATATATATATATCAGTGGTGAACCGTCAGGGCCTTCAAGGTGTTCAGAGAATACCCTGAAACACTCAGATAAAAAAAAATAAAAAAAATCGATTTAATTATATAAATAAAATTTTATAAAAGGTAAATAAAATGAATAAATGAGAATCATATCTGTGTTGTTGATCTGTAATATTACAGTGTTACGTTGATTTTTCTTTCTCTGTCCATGCACTACGCATTCGTACGGAAGAGGATTAGGGCCACATGATTTTTTTTTTTGGG